TGGGCCTTCAGGGCTCGGTGAAAAAGGCGCAGGTCCGCAACTGTACGTAGGTCGGGGGGTAGGTCATTCCAGAGGGCAGGAGCTGCCACAGAGAAGGCTCTCCCCCTGGGGGTCGCCAGCCGGCATTGTCTGGCCGATGGCACCCTGAGGAGGCCCTCTCTGTGGGAGCGGACTGGTTGAAGGGAGGTGTTTGGTAGGAGGCGGTCTTGCAAACTAAAACATTTCATAATTTTGAAGCGATATTATTCATGTTTGTGATATGTCATTTATGCATTCTTCCTTTTTGCATATATTTTTAAGGATTTTAATTACAATGGTGTAAATGAATACAAACTAAGAGAAAGAAAAAAATACCAAGAAAGAAGTGCAACAAAAAGGAAAAGAGAAAAAAGAAGGAATATGATAAAGATTCTGGGGTTCCGCGACCATTGTAACTTTGACCGGTTGTAAAATGACTAGTCGTTAAGCAAGGACTAACTATATTCCCCTTTCACTGTTTTTCTGCTACTAATACCTAAAACAGAAGCTATTCTGCTGATAATCTTCAGAATCTGAACAAGCTGAAGCAGTTACTGGAAATCTCTGGTATTAATTTTAGCAGTCTGGAATTTTCCCATTGCTGGTGATGGGTGTATCTGAAATCAAGATAGACCTTTTCAAGATATTATCGTGCTAAAATAACATCTCAGTTATTGGTGGGCAATCCAGTAGAAAATAATTTCTTAATTAGATGTTTTATGAATTATTATTGAACTATCAGACTGATAAAATTACCAGCATATTGCTGAGAGTCAGAATCTAGCCACTAAACTCCAATGCCTGGCCATTGCTTCTGCCATTGTTTTTCTTCTGACTGCTCAGTTCGTAATGATGGTAGCAACCAGTTTCCTCCAATGGTCCCAGGGGTAAAGGCATGCTGATAGAGCAATCCACCCCTAGCCATCATTTCCAGGCTTGAGGCTTTCCTTGCAGTAACTCACAATGGTAGTAGTACATTTATTTATTATGTGCTATAACTACGTACAGGTAGTCCTTGACTTACAATAGTTCATTTAGTGACCGTTCAAAGTTAAAACAGCACTGAAAAAAGTGACCTATGGCCATTTTTCAGACTTAGACCGTAGCAACATCCCTATGGTCCTGTGATCAAAATTCAGATGCTTGGCAACTAACTCATATTTATGACCGTTGCAGTGTCCCAGGGTCATGTGGTCACCTTTTGCGACTTTCTGACAAGCAAAGTCAATGGGGAAGCCAGATTCGCTTAACAATTGTGTTACTAACTCAACAACTGCAGTGATTCACTTAACAACTCTGGCAAGAAAAGTCATAACATGGGACAAAATTCACTTAACAAGTGTCTCACTTAGCAATATAAATTTTGGGCTCAATTGTGGTCGTAAGTTGAGGACTGATTGTACAGGTAGAAGATAAAGATAGCAATTACTGTAGTAGCAGACTCTTTCTACCAGGTAGTCAATCACTTCTTCACTTTCGCTGTCCATTGTCTTCTAATCTATAACTCACCCTTCACCATCACTGATCATTCATTTTAGCTAGTCAATCATCACTGTTGTACCACTATTTTAATTTTTCTAACTTCTTCAAGCTATATTCAGTCCCAATGTATACATTCATTTCCCCTTTCCAACTCATTTAACAAGCAACTATTCCCTGAAATAAAATCTGATGAGATCCTTATTCATATGCATATTCATTGCCCGTTTGTTGATTTAGAGCAAGTATATGATAAACTATGCAATGTTTGCATAAATAGGCAATTAAAGTTTGTTGAATGTGATAAGAGTAGCATATGACAGGAATAAAGCATGTGTGAGAATAAATGGAATTCTTACTCAGATGGTCCAGCACTGAGCAAGGGGTAAGAAATGNGATCCTTATTCATATGCATATTCATTGCCCGTTTGTTGATTTAGAGCAAGTATATGATAAACTATGCAATGTTTGCATAAATAGGCAATTAAAGTTTGTTGAATGTGATAAGAGTAGCATATGACAGGAATAAAGCATGTGTGAGAATAAATGGAATTCTTACTCAGATGGTCCAGCACTGAGCAAGGGGTAAGAAATGGATATATGACTTCCCTTTGGTTGTTTAATGCTTTTATGGATCAATGTAAGTGACAGTAGAGGTGTTGAATGTAAATCTATATGCACTTTTGTATGCAGATAATGCTGTGTTATTGGCTGAGAATATGAATTATTTGCAGGGAACATAGAAAGATTATATGATCTAGTGAGGAAGATGGCCTGAAAATTAATGCATCAAAAGGCTAAGGTAGTTGTGTTTGACAAGGGAAATGGAGTGAATGATTGCAAATTATACTTGAATAGTGAGCAAGTAGACATATTAGTTGGTAGAGTATTTTGTAAAAATGAGAAGAATAGAGTAATTCTTAGATGTGCAGATGCTACTAGGTGCTATGGGGGTCTTTTGCTAAGCATAAATTAATTTAAATAAATTAGGTGTAGTAACATTTCCTTGACTTTTATCTCTTGCCTGTTATTATTACTTGTTGCTTAGTATTTCCTACCCTTTCTATGCTTATGTGGGAAAAAAGGAAATAGTGTGATGGGCTTGTATGTCATATATAGAACAGAAGTACTATAAATATGTTGGAAAAAATAATCAAAATCAGCCCTGTAGGCTGCATTTTTGTAGTGTGTAATAATCACATATATTTAATGCATGAAAGTTGCATGACGCCTTCAGTTTCCACTGAAGGAGAAATATAGGTATTACTTTACAAGTTCCATTAATACCACAGGTGTACTGAAAAATAGCCTACACTTTTTTTCCTGAATAGCCCTCAAAGTAAATAGGGATTACATGCAGAAGTATTTCTAGGTAGGGAAGGCATTGTGAATTTTTTTTCCAGCCTCTTAATAAAAACTGACTGGCAGGGAGGGGGCTGAGAATGCAGCAGTTGGCAGCATTCTGAGCTGCTGCCCTTAGGGGTGCATTTGGGTAGTTCTTCCTGTTTTTTTTTTTCCTCCCTTCCTGTCCTTAGTGATCCTGTGATCTTTTTCTTTCTTTCTTTCTTTTTTTGGCATCTCTCGTTATACCAAATTTGCCTAGGTTCTGTTCACTGGTACAAGAATTATCCTGCTGATGGGCAAATAGAGATCCAAGCCCCTTTATAGAATTTCTTTCCAAGAAAAACTCATTTTTAGGTAGCTATGAAGCCTTTTTGTATTTACTTTTTAATGCTTGCAATATGTTAAGTATCAGTATGATGAGTACTAGACAGTGTGTTGGCTACAAATTGAGACTAAATTTGCCAGTTGTTTCTTCGTTTGGTTTCAGTACAAAGTAGTGTCCAGTTTGAAATTTGCATATCAAACTCCAGTACTTAATGGAGGGTTAGTGCCTACTCAGGGCAATTTGTGGTGAAAATCAGGCATTCATTCCTACTGATAAAGGGGCAAGATGTTATCTAAGGTTCCAGTTTTGAAACTCAAGTTCTTTTGCCGTGAGTTTTACCCTCTTTGTTCCTGACATGAAAAGATTCTGAATGTTTCTTATGTCAGTCCTTTTTAGTTCAGCCCTCTCCAAATTTATGAGGGCAATTGGGAAATAAATCTCCGTTTGGTTATCAATGACAGACACTCACAGATACAGAACTTTTATTATACACATTAGAAAACTACAACATTACATTACTTTTTGACATAATTGCGGTACTTGTCATAACATCTTACAAGGTTTGAAATTCCTTAGTAGTAGTCGCTCGGCACCAAATCTGGGCTACGGAGGGATGATTAAAAACACACCAACAGAATTGCTTCAAAAGTACTTGGATGTGTTGGGCAGTGTGTGGGCGAGCATTATTGTGAACCAACACCACACCGGAAGTGGTGCCATAGAGAATCCCGCCAAATATGAAGATGCCAAAGGAGTACTGCTAGTGAAGTTCATGGAGCTTGTTTTGACCGTCAGTTCAGAAGTCTACTGTGAAATGTTACGAAAACTCAGACGAGCCATCCATAACAAGCATCGGGGTATGCTGACTTCCGGTGTGGTGTTGGTTCATGATAATGCTCGCCCGCACACTACTAGACACACCCAAGAACCTTTGAAGCAGTTCCTTTGGAATGTTTTTGATCAACCCCCCCCATAGCCCAGATTTGGCGGCAAGCGACTACTACTAAGGAATTTCAAACTTTGTAAGATGTTATGACAAGTGCCGCAATTATGTCAAAAAGTAATGTAATGTTGTAGTTTTCTAATGTGTATAATAAAAGTTCTGAATCTGCGAGTGTTTGTCATTGATAACCAAACAGAGGTTTATTTCCCAATTGCCCTCGTGTTCAGACCACCCTATAATCTCTACAAATGCAGGTACCAGTTTTTTTTCCTCCCAGAATAATAAATAATCCATGAAACCTTTCAAAGTGCCACAAAGCTCTTTGGTTTTGCTGAGCAGGTTAAAATAGCTACAAACTATATTGGTTGGGTCTTTATTAATATATTTTGTTAAGTGTTAAACAGAAACTTAAATATTATAAAAGCGAGTTATATTTTTGTAGGAAAATTGAATTAATTTAACTTTTGGAACAATGCTACAGCTTTTATGGCACCAAATGCTCAATATTCTTTTGTAAAAATAATGTAAATTAGATTACAGTCTCACATCCACTCTCTTGAAACAATTTTCTTTAAACTCAGTAAAGCTAACTTTTGAATAAACTTGTATAGGGTTTGAAAAGGTTATTTGGACAATAACATGCCTTGATGAACCTGTATACCTTTCTTTTTAGGGTACCAGATAGCAAGAAGACCAGTTATAGAGAAAGGTATATTGTTTTGTAGTATAGAATGATTAAAACATGGTTTTAGATATATTGCTGTTTTAATATATTGCTGGTTTTTTTATCTTTATAGAAAGTGATAGCACAATCTTACATGAACTGACAATGCCTTATAGCTATATTGATTCTAAGCTTTATAATGAATTAACTTATATCCAACAAACTCAGCAGCCTTTAAATATAACACAGAAACCATAATGTAATAGTGGATCAATAAGTTCCCAATTCAAAAGACTCAATAGTAAGTGAAGAGAAACACTTTCTTCTGTCCAAGAACACAGAAAGCTACTTGTTTTTGGAACACCAAGATCTATACTGGATTGACAAATAGAGTGTGTTAACGAAAGAAAATTTCCTTTGTTCTTAAATACCCATTTTTTTCTGTCTTCTTGGTATTCAGTAAAGATTTCCAAGATGCTTGCAGCCATAAGATTTCAGCTCCTGTACTGAAATAAAACATGGTTGGTGAGGATAAAACATTAACAGTGGAGAAATGAATAGTTAGATTATCCTAACTCTGAAAAAGAATTGTTTTAACATAGAGTTTAGGAAGTTTATACTTATGTTGTCCCTAAATTGATGTGATCGTTTATTTATTGGCTATAATTGAAAAGAAGCTATCCTTCCAGGTTATACAGATACATAGCGGTACTTCCATACTACAGCTAATAAGACTTTTTTTTTCAACAATGGTATTACTTTGGTTTTATTTTACCTCCATTTTAGGCACATTTGCAACTTTTAATTCAGCAAACTTTCTCTAGAAGCTTAAACAGGGTTTTTTTTTTCAAATTAAACCTGCCAGAGCATAACATTAACCCACCCACTCTGTAACCTCTAATCAAATTCCTTATGAAGAAGGCCAAATTGTTTTTGACATTCTTTCAGGAAGACCAGAAAAAAATGAGTGCAGTTCTACTATCAGCTTGTTTAATTTATATAACCTTTCATGCAAGATGTATGGATAGTAAAGAAATGAGATATGATTCTATAATCCAGCATACAAGGAGGAAAGGAAAAAGGTTGTCAGATATAGTCACTACACTTTCAATAAGAATGTTGCCCAGTGAAGTAAAAAAAACCTGCAGTTAAACTGTGCTCATATCTCAACTGAATTAGTCATGCTGTAAATGAAACCCTTGAAATTTAATGATGAAAACAGCACCTTTGCTCTTTAATAGATTCCAAGGGTGGAAAGTTAGGAGAAACTCCAGATGCTGCTGTTATACATTAGAGAAAATTATATTTTATTTAAAATATAAATATCTAAAGATCTTCTAATAGGTGTGACTACTTCAGGCGACTAATCTGATTTATTTAGTAAAATTATGGACATATAAAATGAGATAGAAACCAGTTTTCAAATAGCTTACTTTTGCTTGTCTACTTTGCAACAACATCGTTACTGAAACATGACTTTATTGAAAGAGCATTTAAGAGGCCATCATAATGGCAATATATCAGAAAGGAAGCATGTTTTTAACAGTCATTGAGGAAGTTTAGAAATGTTTTTAAAATTAAGAAGAAATTCTTAATAGGCAAATAAAGAAGAGAAGAATAAGCCAGACGATAAAAAGAAAATGAATACACAAAGGAATCTTTTTAGAGTTTTTACATGAAACTATAATTTTAATAAATATATTAATCAGCTAATGTAGTCAGATATGTTGGATGATCTTTAGATGTCTATATTTTAAATAGAATTTCCTGTAATGTATATTATATGCTATTACATATTACTACATCAAGTAAACTTCGTGGCTAAAAGTTCCAAACCCCTTTTGGAATTTCAAATATTTTTTAAAGCTTTCGCTAAATTAATCTCACTATTTTAGCAGAGTTAAATTTCATTTCACTCCATAGGCCATATGTCCAAGCTAAATGAATTTAGGATCAAGGCTTAAGAATGCCCTAAGCATATTCAAATTATGCAAATAATTCTTAATCATACTGTTGCTGCCTATCCCTTCCTAACAGATTTCTTATTGCATCCTATTTGTACAAGACAATTTTTTATTGTGGAAATAAATTCTGTCACATATATTTCACATACAACAAATATAGTGTTGCATTTGAACTTGTATGTATATGAATATATCTGTAACCTATTATTTTCTACTTCAAAATGAAACTGAGGCAATAGATTATTGAATATTTAATTACAATATGCCTTGTTAGTATTAATTATCAAGTATATATAGGGTAATTTCTTCTTTGAGTCACCTGATATCTTCATAATGATTACGCCTGGTGACTCTTGCAATTTTCTTGGCTACTACACTAAAAGAATTTGCCATTGCTTTCCTCCAGGATTTTTTAAAAAATTATTCACCACTCTAGGATACAGCTATAGTATTTTATGGTGGTAGTGTCCTATCCATATAGCAAGTAGGTTCAACACTGCTTAATTTGTTGAGATCAATCAAAGTCAGCTAGATGTTGCCAGTTGACCTCCATGTCATATATGTATGCCTACTACTAATCAAAAATGTTATTTCACCCATAGAATCATATACTACATTCTGTATTACAGTTGTCTTCTTGTAACAGTATTTTTATAAGAGGATGTATAGGATAACAACAGTACTTTGAATTGTTCCTGGGAAGTGAGTTAAGTAGTTTTACAGTTGAAGATGAATATTCCCAATGATTATCTCATTATTATATTTGCAGAATTCACATAGTCTGCTTCTCCCTGATACTCTTTGCTCCTGCCTTTAACAACTATCTTCAAATACTCAGGGCAGAAAAAACAATATATAACCAATCAAAATAAATAAGCATGTTTTATGCAAAAATAACTTCAAACTGAAAACTGAATTACACACAATTTTGCATTTTTTGTTTTGAAAAATGGAATGTCCTTGATGTAAGCAATTCTGTATTTGTTTCCAATCTGTCAGATGCACAGCTGCTGAAATCTGTTTGTGTTCTTTGGTTGCTTTTGTGACTGATGCTTTTCCTCTGGAAGAAAATGTTTTGGATTTCTACAATTAGAATATTCTGACCATGGAGTCCTATTTTTAATGTAAAATAAGTATCAGCCCAAAGCATTTATTCCACATTTTTGGGATCTCCAAGAGAGCATTAACTTTCTGCAAGAAGGAACCTTTTCAGAGGTGCTCTGATTTTTTTTGTTGAGCACAATTCTGAAATGTTTAAGCATTGTTGCCTGTCACTAAATAATGAAAGCTATTTACATTTTATGACTCTCAGTCTACAGGAGACATATGAAGCTAAAAGACATGAATTTCTTGGAGAATTAGAACGGAAACAAGAAGAAATGAGACAAATGTTTGTGCAAAGAGTCAAAGAGAAAGAAGCACTGCTAAAAGAAGCAGAGCGAGAAGTAAGTATATTTTTACTCTGCTTAGGTGAGTTTGGGTGGTTGTAGAAACTTGGAATAGATTTAATCAGATTCTCAAATTTTGGGGTGCCTTGTTCTCCTAAAACAGTCTAAAGGAAACTATCAGATCATGTTTTGTCAGTGATGCCACTGTACCTGGACAACCTGGATGCCGACTTGTACTTGCAGAATGGGGACACGACCTGGCAGAGATCCAGCTGTGCACATGGAAGCTAGACATGCACTCCTGCAGCTGGATCACTGTCAGAATTCTTCCCTGCTGAGACTGTTCTTGAACAGGCGCTGTTGCCTAATCTCATCTTTCCTTATCCAAGGCAATTCTTCCTCTTGGGGGTGGGCAGGACCTTGGATCCTGTGGGCCTGCTCCAGACATCTTGAGCATTTTGAGTTCCCACTGGTACTGTAGGAGTTGTTTTTGTGAGTACAAAAGTTGTTAAATAAAGAGCTTCAGCAAATGAAACCCATTCGGATCAGCAGCTCAAAGCAGATAGTAGATCAGCTCATGACATTCCCTCCTCTCCCATCCCATCCTGAGAATTCCTTAAGCGCACAGATATGGTCATAACAATCTCATTTGCCTACAAATAGGCAAGGGATACTCAGATGTGATTCACTGAACTCCCATTTGATTAATTACATATGGCCATTGACCACTGGGCTTTGATAGGCAATTGAAAAAAAATCTACTTAAATGTTTCTGAGTCTAGATCAGTGGTTCTCAACCTTTTTAATGCCGCGACCCCAACCGGTCGTAAGTCGAGGACTAAACCGGCCGTAAGTCGAGGACTAAACCGGTTGTAAGTCGAGGACTAAACCGGTCGTAAGTCGAGGACTACCCAACCGGTTCTAAGTCGAGAACTTTCCCTGCCCGGGAGCACCGTGCATGCGTGGTTCCGCCCCCTGCGTCGGCCGAGGTGTAGCTGGCAAGCGGCAGAGACGGAGCAGGCCGACCACCAGCTGGCCCAGCCCAAGGGAGGTAAGGCACCCGCCTGAAAAGGGGAAAAAATGGCGGACAAAAAAATGGCGGACAGCCTTGCTTGGCGACCCCCGTGAAATGGTCGATCGACCCCAAATGGGGTCCCGACCAACAGGTTGAGAACCACTGGTCTAGATTAACAAATTCCTACCTCGAATTGTAGTGATCAGACTCAGTGGCAGCATTCTGTGCTGTTTGATTAGAAATCTCAAGGGTTAGGGATATCATTCTTACTAATCTTTGTAACCTCTTGGTCTCTAAATGGCATATAGTTTAAAGTTTCTGATCCTTCTAGAGATTACTGTTCCTTTCAATGGATTAAGAGGAAGTATATTTAGCCCATTTATAATAACAATATTCCAATTCAGACAGTTTAAATGGAACAAAGGTCTTAAAATTCACAACTCTTGACTTGGGGTAAGAAAAAATTATATATTGATAAATGCGTGCCAAATAGAATAAATGTCCACAGCCTTTATCACAACAACCTTCCTCCCCCCCCCCATAATACCAACTGGTAGGTAGACATTTCTTTTTTTTTTTTGTAATTTATTTTTTATTTTTCCAAACTCTCCCCCATACATATACCGTGATATTTATCAGATATTAACATACATTCTTTTTACATTCTTATATATAAGATACTTTTAATGAAATAAATACATACACATGACTTTTGGTGTTGCTCGCCCATTTCCCCTTTCACTGCATCCCCACTCCTTCTTCTCTACCCCTGGTAAGTAGACATTTCTATTGTCTCCCCTCCTACCCTCATAAATTTCCTCTCCAGGGGATCTAGTAAACTGTTTTATCCTGTTTGTTAAAAAAAACAATCAATTTTGTCACAGTTTTATAATTCTTGCAGGGCAATGAACCTGTTCAGTTAACATTAGTTGGAGGCTGGAGGCATCTAAGAAATGTGCAATGATTGCTGTGCATGGAATTGTGTGACCTGGTTTTCTCACTGCTTGGCAAAGGAGAAAAAAAAATGCAACACTAGTGTATATTTGATACAAATTCCTCTTCAGTTTTCAACACATTAAAAAGAGGCATTTGATATCCTCAAAAGTTGATCTAATATATAGTTGCTCAACTTGGTTGTAATTTGTTAAATAGAAGTCAGTTTTTGCATTCTGAACTGTAAGCTAATTAAAGCAACATCTGTATTCAGAGTATTTTAAATCACACATGAAATAATTATCTTAAAAACCTCCTATTTTACAATGTAATTATTGAGCATGGACTTAAGATGAGGCTAAGCACTTCTGGTAAAAACAATGCTTTTATGATTTATTTCAGCTTCAAATGAAGTTTGAACATTTGAAACGACTACATCAGGAAGAGAGAATGAAAGTGGAAGAAAAAAGAAAGCTTCTGGAAGATGAAATTATTGCATTCAACAAGAGGAAAGCTGCCTCAGATATATTGCAAGGGAGGCCTCTGCCTCCTACACCTACAGCTGGTTTTAAAAAAGATAAAGATCGGAAAAAGTAAGTAGCCCATTTTGAAAGATTGGAGGAAGGGGAAACTGTTAAGGGACAACATCTTAAGCAACTTAAACCACTCAGAGATTCCAATGGTAAAAATGATGATTTTAAATTTTATAGGAAAAAAAAAATGATTAGGCACCTAGATGAAAATACTTGTTTTTCTTTTTTTTTCCTTAAGGGATCCAGGTTTTCGGCTTGAACTCCTATGCTTTGATGTCAGAGATCAGGAAGTTGTGAACGTAGATGACGAGAAAGCAAGAGAGAAGTTAGAAAGGGACAGATACCATCACAGGGAATACCAGCAATAGCCTTTGGCTGTAATCCACAAAGCTTTCAGTGGTTAGGGCCTGATAGTAAGTCACAGAAACAGAACCATATGCTGAATATTTTTAATACTTAGGGGAAGCTGTTTATCCAGTCCTAAAATTATTGGTATAACTCACATCAGGAGTTATAGTTTCCTTGCTATGATTCAAAATATTAGTAGAAATTTTAAAATCCTAAAGGTTTATTGTGAAATGCAATGCAACAACTGTGGTAGTATTCAAAAAGGTTTATTGTGAAATGCAATGCAGCAACGATGGTAGTCAAAATCTCAACTCAGCACATTGAACAATATTCATTATTTTTAGTCCTATAATTCTGCCTTAAACCAAGAGTAGAACAGTCCAGAGTGAAACTACAGGAAGTGAGAGAACCAAGACATCCAGGACAGAAAAGTAAAGATGTTTTTTTTAAAAAAAATTCTTCCAGTTTATTTTTTATTATAGTTTTTTTTTACTTTTTAAGTATACTATCATAACAGGAAAATGTTTTCCAATGCTAGTCCTTAGATGACATGGAGAAGAAATCAAATTAGATCCTTTCTGAGATTACAGGTAGTTCTCAATTTACAACCATTCATTTAGTGACTGTTTAAGTTCCAACAGCACTGAAAAAAGTGACTTATGACCGGTTTTTAAACTTACAACGTTTGCAGCATCCCTATGATTACATGATCAGAATTTGGGCACTTGGCAATTGGCATGTATTTATAACAGTTGCACTGTCCCAGGGTCATGTGATCACCATGTGTAACTTTCCCAGCTGGCTTCTAACAAACAAAATCAATGGGGAACCAGGTTTGCTTAACAATTGCATGATTCCCTTAACAACTGCAGTGATTGTGGCGAAAAGGTTACAAAAACTCACTTAACAACTGTCCTAACAATGTAAATTTGTGATCGTAAGTCAAAGACTACTTGTATTACTTCTTGGGCAACTAAACTGGTCATTCTGCCAAAAGAAATCAGATTAATTTAACATGACTTGGTCATCCTGGTTCCTTCTAAATGTTCACAAACTGACTTCTTAATCATCTGCTACAGAGATTTGCTTTATATTGATATCAAGTTGATTGTTCTCTCCTCATTTTTGAAGATGGAAATAACTTTCCCTTCTTCATTTCTAAATCTGTCTTTCGTGATTCAAAGATCACAGAAGGGGCTCCCAGATGATATCTACAACTCCTTCAGAGCTATTTTATGTCATAGTTCTGCTCCTGGAGACCTCAATTTTCATACCCAGATGTTTCATAACTTATCTCTTTTCTTACCTCGGGTTTCCCCTCCCTCCCTTAGTTAGCTGTTCTGGTTAGGTCTGTGCAAACATAGTTCCTACTACAGGAAAAAATAGAAATAAAATAGGAATTGAGAAGCTCTATTCTATTTCCATCTTACCATGTTCAAGCTATGGACCACCTCTTCCTTTTTTCTTTTACTCCTCTTAGATAGCTTTAAGATACATTTTTTTAGTGTTGTAAAACTAACATCTTTCTTTTGTTTCAGCCCCGGTTTTATGTGAATTGGAGAAGAAATTCTTCACAAATCTGAGAGGAAGAAAGATGGATTGTTACCTCCTTTCTTTTTCTTAATGTGTGTTCATTTGAAAACTGACCGCTGCAACTGTATTAAAATATATAATCAGTTCTGCATTCTGTACTATAAGTTGCTGTCAAATTAAGAATTCACTCAAATGGACTTATTTTTTTTTTCAGTAGCTTGCACTTAAACTATGTACTTTTGCCAACAGAAATGCACATCAGCCTTCTGTACCAAAGATCACCGTGCTATGAACTATGGCTCTTGTGCTTTGGATCTGAAGGCAAATGACAGCTTCAGAGTGCATTGGGGCATAAATCTAGCACGGGTCTGCAACTAGCTTTCCTGCCACTGCTCAGTGAGGGAGGAGAACAGCTGCTCAGTTGCAAGGAGAGCTTTAAGGAAAGCAGAGAAATGCCACATTCATGGGTCTAAAGCCTCAGAAGCTCCTTTTGCCTTAGAATCTAAAGCACACCAAAGCTCTGATATAAACAGTTTTCATTTAAGTTACGAATACTGTAGTATAATAGTATTCATTGACTACACATTATAATTTTTAAAGAATTTGTGCCTTAACTATATAGCCTTTAAAGTGCCTTTTACTGAACTGTATAAAATATGTAAACCAATATATTTTAAAATGTGCACTTTGTAATTTTGTAATGATGACAAGCTTTAGAGTTAAAGTGGATCATGGTTGCTTTTACCGTTGCAGTATTCATGCAAGTACAGACATTACTTGAAAACCGATAACTGAAAATTAACTTGGTTGCAAGGGTGTCTTCTTTTTAAGCCACTTTTTCTCATCTACACAATATGAACGCTGGGAACAGTCATTTTGAAAATTTTAATAAAAATCCTGACAACTTCATATTCATTTAAACATGTTCCTTGACACAAAGCCTTCCATCAATTTTAATTCTTATAATTTAACATTAACTAGATGCACAAGTGGTAGAAGAAGAAGAAAATAAAAGTGAAACTCTATTTTTTTTCCTGAAGTGACCTTGAATAGGGTTGAATCCCATGCTTGCTTACTTGGACAAAAGTTCTATTCTTCAAAGAAGCAATATCTTAATTTTGAAATTATCCATTACTTAGGCAACCAGGAGTCCTGGTGCTCCCTGTTTACTAATAAATATAGCAGTTGCTTATGTAATCCTCATAGATTTCTGCTAATTATTTTATAAAACATATGTAATTTGATAAATAAAGTTATTTGGTTAAACAACTAGTAAGTATTCCACAGTGCAACAGTGCTTGGATTTATTGGATAATAGAACTGTTCTAGCTAGTCTCACTGTTTTGCAAACTACCAGCCAGACACTGGGGCCATCAATGGTACTTTAGCACTACAAAGATGAGATAAATGTATTCATAGGCACTGGAGAAAATATCAATTGGATAGCAAAATTGTCAACATCTATCTAAAATCCTGTTTGGGTAGATTATTCCATAAGAAATAAGATCAGTGCTAATATTAGTTTCCTGGATATTTTTTTTCAAGTATGTGTTCTCTTATAGAATGTTTTCTTTTGAAAGCAGGTATGAAATCTGGGAAGTGGGGGGAGGGCCCATCTGGTGCTCATGCTTCCTAAGGCCCATGATAGTTTTTCACAAAGATACTAACATATTCTTAGCTCTACTCATATTCTGTGGTATAAATCCTACATACGAGCTCTGTTGTCATTCATATTGGCTTGGTTCCGCAGCTAAGCCTATGCATCAACCTCCATTTTGCTCTAATTGTGACCAACTACTAGGGGTCTCAAGTGAAGATACACCACATGAATGTTGTGATAAGCAGGTCCCTCCATACATATCAGGGAAGTTGCTAATCTTTTCAGCAGTTCTACAAAATTAGCATTAATGACGATTGGTACACTTACTGGGTCTGAAACAAGAAGAGTTTCAAAGAATTGTGATGATTTCCTTTGTAACGTAGTTATTTATAAAATTGGAGAGAACATATTAATTTATATATAAACTTTAAAATTCCACTGAGTATATTTAGATAAAAAGTTGAAGATTTGCCATTATTTAAGATCAGGGGTGTCAAACTCGCAACATCACGTGACGTGTCGCGACATATCACAACTTTTTTCCCATTGGCAATGGGGTGGATGCGGTTTCGGCATGACGCATCCAGCTCGCAGGCCGGCAGTTTGACACTGCTTAAGATAAAGATGGTTTTTGATGCAGGATGAGACCATAACAAACATAAGGCAGGTGGCTCAGAGCCTTTTCATACAGACTGACACTGGAGAAACAATAAAGGATCCCATATCAAGTCCCTGAGGCAACTGTTATTAAGGTAATTTTAGGCCCATAATATGTGTCAATAAAGGAACATTTGAGCCTCACAAACAAAAAATTGGGGCCACACAAGGAAATGAGAAAATATCAGGTGCACAGAAATCAAAGATTATAAGAATAAGTACATGCAAATGGTAAGGATGACAAGGTGGAACAAACATTAGCTCAACTCCCTCTTTAGCAAAAATAAAATAGTAAAATTCCCTGCACTTTGATTCTAAACATCAACAATGTTCCTTTAAACTACAGCAAGACAGTTGCAATATTTAATGACTACTTACAATGTTGTATTATTCTTAACGTCTTTTTAACCAACTTTCCATAACTTTTCCTTACTTTCTTGAGAAACCTTTTCAATACGACCGCAAATAAAGAAGTTTGAACATCTCTTGCATATATTTCATGAATTTTAGCCGATTTCTCCAATGCTGAGCTGATTCACAGAATTTCTTTGTGACTACAGTTCCTTGTAGTTGCTTTTTAGGTTAGGCATGGAAAGATCACTTTCTCTTCTGTTGTTATGACTGCAAAGGGAGTCATCTGAACTTCCTTCAGGAGCCATATGGCTTTAAATTTGAGCAGATGAAACCCTGGCAGGTTAAGCTAATTAAGTGTAACCACTGGGGTCAGAGGCCTGGATTAACACTGAAAAATAATTGAACAAGGTTCTCAACAAAATAGTTCTTGAAGTTAGCTACAAATGGGAATCAAATCACCTGACTTAAGTAGTTCTTTATTAACATTTAACATGGGGAAACGAGGCTGATACAGAATATTAGAAAATATTATATTTCTTGTTGCACTATTAAAATACGTTTTCTAAGGGGACTTTGATTTCTCTCTTTTTTTTCAGCTCTCATTTCAAAATAACTGTGCCTAGTAATCACCAGCAGATGCTGCTCAATAGCCGCAGTCTCATTGCTTTATTGCAGAATCAGTATGAATCTGGCAATCAAATGCCCTAGATATTTTTTTTATATAAGCTTATGTAATCTACATCCAATATTTATATTTAAATTTATTAAATACATGTTATTTGTATATATATATATAACTGTTAACCTTTTTATATCTGCAAAAAATATTTCAAGTAATTTATGAAAATATTTTTTACTTGTGGTTGTTTAATATGGGGAATATAAAGCAAAATTGTCTATAAATAGTTGTGGCCTACTACAGCACAAAAGGACTAATGCTTAATTCACAGCATCTTCAGCTAAAGGATTGGTAACAAAAATTGTAAAAACAATATTCTGACAGAGGAAGTATTAAACTTTCTAACTTATCTTTCTTGTATTATGTTTAAACAATGTATGAAAGGGTAATAAGATAATTAAAGTGCAATAAAGTACATGGTATATGGTAAAACTACAAAACTGGATAACACAAATGCTTCAGAATGCTTACTTCAGCAAAAAAAACTTGAGACAGAAGCAGCAGCCTTTCAGATGATTTCTTTCCAGATCAAGCAGCTCTTATCCATTCAGCTGAAGATCCTGGTCAAGGTCTCCCCCTGGCACATGAACGTCTATCAGGAAGGGACCTTCCCATAGTGGCGAAAAACAGGACAGGTATGGATTGATTGTGGAATAAATGGTATTGCTTTCTCGCAGGCCTTTTTAAGAGTCAAAAAATGACGGCTTTGCTAGGAATTGCCTTCCCTCAGGGCCTTTTTAAGAGGCAGAGAGGTCCAATCCCAGAATATAACTTGTTTGAGCTTCCCCGTCGTCCCATATCTATCTCACACCAATCTCATTCTTTCTCTCTAGTTTTTTGTCTATTAAAGTCAATGGTGCAGTACAGAAGGAACTCTTGAGATTGTATTTTAATTGAATGTTATTGCTTTAAATGAAAAGCATTGTTTTTGTTGGCTTTTAATCCTAGGTTTGCTGTCCAGGGTTGCAGTTGCAAGATGGATGGCTTTATAATTTGATATAATAATAAATGTATCTTAAATCCTGATTCATAATCTGGAGAGGGCCTCCTTCCAACATGTAGCTAGGGCCATTGCATCCTCAAAGTCTGTCTTATCTTCTGCAATTGTCACCAAGCAGCAGTTGTGGAATTTCATAGGTTTTGGCCAAGAATCTAGCATCTTTTGGCTCCTCTTCTTTCCACTGTTTTGTTGTCCATCTGGCCACGATAAGAACTTAGAAACTAAGAGTTTCCTGTGTTTGCTTTTCCTCCCCTCTTTTATCCCACTCCCTTTTCTATTTCTATGAGCTGTTTTTTAAGAGTGTAGCCATATGGCCAGGAATGATATTATTATGAATCTTTGTAAGCCATTCTGGTTGCTCTTTA